CATGCAGGTCTCAGGAGGTTATGCATACTTTATATTTTCATAAATATAAATTTAGTAAAGGACGATCTTCAACACTCAAAAAACTGACGTGCAGGATTTTCTTAACCAAGTTATGCCAAGTGGTTTCTTTAATGTTCTTTAAAAGTAAATGTGAAACTTGAAAYAACTTTAAATCCAGCACATCTGTTTTTTCAGACAGATTCAGTCAGAGCTTTTCTTAAAATCAACTGTAAATAAAAACAAAAAGCTAAAGTAGACTTCTGTATATCAGAAGTTGAATCCTTAATGTCTTTATTGCTGCACATATTTGACGACAGTAAATCTTTTGAAATTCTGTTCTGATTTTTGTTTTGTTTTGTTTTGATTGCCACCAGGATTTTCAGTGGCCTCCTGCATGCCCCCCAACCCCCACCCCACATTAAAACATTTTTGGAGACACCACTGACATCATTCAAGACCAAAAGTCGAACACATAATTTGTAATAAATGAGTGAAATGTGCATTCATGCTTTGTTGGAAATAAATGGTTTGTTTACATTYAAACATTGACGAGTACACTTCAGTTTCAGCGAAGGTATTTATGTAAATGAAGTCAGTGAAATAGTTCATTTTAATACAAATATGTTTTTTTTTCTCCAGTAAAGAATCAAGATGAATTCTGCCATTGTAAGGTTTTAAAAATGATGCTTGATTCTTGTGAAGGAGATGCTCTTGTGATTGACGTGTCTCTGGCCAATCAGCAGTTTGCTGACATCAAATCTGCAGCTTGACCTGACTCACAGATGCTCAGTTGAGTGGGTCCTGARTGAGAACTGACCTGAAACTCGGTGGGATTACACAACTTTCTGGGTAGGGGGTGAGTCGAGCCCATGGAAAAAGGCCTTTAGAGAAATTTGTCAAAGTGGAAACTGGTTTCCACAGTGCAGAGATGAGTGAAAACCAGAACTGCTACAACTGAGCCGTCTTACAGGTTTTTATGGAGCATGGATCTGCAGCCTGTGGCTCTGAGGCCACACGAGCCTCTTTAGTCCCGTGTTGACTATAAATAAAAATGGAAATGAATCATATTTTTAGTCCTGACCACAACATAAAGGACTAGTTTTAAGTTTCCCTGTCCATCTTAGACAAATAAAGAAATTTTCTGTGACTGAATTATATGAATAATCAAAGATAATAATATAAACATGTTGATCTGTTTGTGTCAGTAGTTTTTTTTTAGGCTTTTTCCACTTCTTCATTCTAATTTTCTTCCAGAGTGAGTTTTTTCTGAAATTCACTGGATAATTAAACACTAACACAGTTGAGGTGAGCTGCTCAGGAGGAAAAAAAGAATATTTTTGCTGACAAATCACTACAAACTACATGAATCATCAAACTAAGGATTATATACTAAAATATCACAAATCAATTTGATAGAATTAAGAATTAAAAAGCTAGTTGCTGACAAAAACAAAGTTGAAGTAACTTTCCTTCTATCACAAGAAATAAAGTTATAATAAAAAAATCAAACAATGTTTACCCTAAAATATCTTCAAATCCATGTTTTTTCTACTTTAAATGGAATTATTAATTTAGCTCCTACAACATTTATTATATAGCGTTTAAATTTTAAAAAGCTGAGATTTAAATATTTTCCTCCACTCATTACAATAGTTTGGTCTTTTTATGTGTGCTATGTGAAAAACATCAGTATTTTATTTTAGAGTTTTTATTTCATAATGTATATTTTACAGTAAGTTTTTACATGAGGAGTTATGTGTTGTGCAGATTGTTACTGAGTTATATGACTTGTCAATAAATCCAAATAAAGTGATTTATTTACATACATCTCTTTACATTCAGACGAGTTCTCCTGATATCCAGCTAAAACCAGTTTCAGCCTGACCTGAAGTTGTACCCTGGTTAAAAACATCCTGTAGATTACAACATACTTTACATATGTGGGATAAGATTTGAATTTTAAATCAGCTGTGCTGGATGTGTTTTTACTTGGCACAGGACTGTGAACTTCACCTTTGGACTTCAAGCAGTGTGTTCCCTCTGCAACAAGCAACTGCATGTGGAGTTTGTGAACAGAGAGACCCCTGCTGGAAGGAAAACAAGTAAACAAACCACTGTGATTTCAAAATAAAACTCATGCCATATTTATTCCCCACCCCCTGCAAAAAAATAAAATAAACCCAAAACACTTTATTCACAAATACTATTACATTTCTAAGTCTATGGAAATATTTGCAAATAAAAAAATAAAATAAAAGCTAAACTTCACATCAGGAATTACGTTGTTTGTTTGTTGTTTTTTTTTGTTTGTTTTGTTTTTGTCTGGCACAAAGTAGACTATGAATCCATGAAGGTACAACGTATCACAGTGAACCCTTTAAGTGCTTTTCTCATGTAAATAAGTAAACAACAAACATACAAATTGTGGGTAAGGAAATTTCCAAGCTACGTTTCATCCTACACGTTCATTTTGTCGACTCATATTGTACAACGAGGTCTGCCTCTTCAGTATTATAAAAAATATAGTAAACATTTATATTAATTGCACAACATACATTCAAATACATACTGTACTGTACAGCCAAGGTTTTATTTTGTGTTGTATCCTTTAGCACCAGGTATAATAAGCTAAACAAGCTAGTTGGAAACAGTGTGATACTGACGATACGGATAAATAACATTATTTTCACTAATGATGCTTTGTGTTGATGGGAAACTATTCTGGAGCTGTAATGATTGTGAGGTGGTGGTCGGTGTGAGACACTCTGGTCACATCTGGCAGCTGTGGGGCAGATTACTTTTCAGAAAAGACATTCATCAGTGTTAAAATCAACTATAATACAAAAGATTATGGTGAAAAGTCTTWCAGTGAGTTGTTATAAAGTCCACAGCAGTTCCACGTGCAAACATGGTGGAAGGAAAGACGTTACCGTAAGTTTTTAGTTCATCATCATCAGCCACATAGCGATCATGAAGCCATGACATCGTTTTGTAGCAGCAGAGTAGACCTGTAGCTCGGCATGCTTCCATAGTCCCGTTTGCCATGAAATAAAGCAGATTAAAGCAATGTCCTGTGTATTATCTACAAACATTACTGTCAGAATGGATGGCTCGTGGACACCAAACGTCCCACATATTTACAACCTGTTGCAGCTCATGTCAACAGGTAACAAATACAAACGTATTTCAGAACAGAGAACTGAAAAAATCTTTTAGACTCCGTGTCTCTTCCTCTTAGGCAAACGCTACAAAGAGCTGCTCTTCCACAAAATGAAACCCAGGTTTAGTATATCTCAGGTTAAGGTCCAGTGAAGTGAGGTCAAGGTCCTCTTGTTGGAACAAACTCCTCCTTCCTCTGCTGGAAGACACCAGTTTGATGGGTGATGGGATGTGGTTGGTTAACCAACCCACCCTTTCCAAATCTGCCCCCTGTGCACGAGAAACAACATGGTGTCAGGTTAACCGTGCTATTTGAAGTGTTCACTGGGAACCACAGCTCCAGCTGTTCCTACCAACACTGCAAGGAGAAGACAACAACAGGACTGAAAACACAACACAAGATGTCATTTCTGCACCGCATGGTTGATACTGACCAACTGCAATGCAGGTTATGAGAGTTACTGTCATGTAGATGGACAAGAACAGAACTAAAAACAATAGAAGAGCAGACTGTTGGGTGGTCTGATCGAGACAAACTAAATGTGGACAGAAGCAAAAGAARAGCTTAAAGGGATCCCCAATTAGTTGTAACATTAAACTTTATTTGATAAACATTTATTTTAACTGTAAAATAAAGACTGTAAAAATACTGTAGGMTGTTTAGATTTGTAAATTTTTTTAAATATATTTTAACACGGATGGGGCCATTTTATTTACACACAAAGCATTCTGGGTAAATGATGACATTAACTAGGTCATTGGTGCGAGGCTGCTAGCGAGCTATATCCACCCTGAAGGTTAATCTTGGACAATATCTGATGATCGACTCTTTTAAATGAAACCAGAGAGCGTTGACAGAGAGGAGAAGGTAGAAATGACTCAGCCTGTAACTGAAAATATGGATGGAGGACAACAGAGCTGCTTCATGGAAGAAGAACCTCAGCTTAGCCTGTTAGCCTTCGCGCAAGCACCAACACTATATTGCCTTATATGTATTAGGTCAGTGTTAACGTGACAAACAGGCTAAGCTGAGGTTCTTCTATGAAGCAGCTCTGTTGTCCTCCATCCATATTTTCAGTTCCAGGCTGAGTTGTTTCTACCTTCTCCTCTCTGTCAACGCTCTCTGGTTTCATTTAAAAGAGTCAATCATCAGATATTGTCCAAGATTAACCTTCAGGGTGGATATAGCTCCCTGACAGCCTCGTGCCGATTACCTAGTTGATGTCATCATTTACCCAGAATGCTTTGCATGTAAATAAAATGGCCCTGTCCATGTAATATATTTTTAAACTTTTAGTTTAAAAATTATAAAAATGGAACATCCTACAGTATTTTTACAGTCTTTATTTTACAGTTAAAGTATATGTTTATCATATTAAGTCTAATGTTACAACTAATCGGGGATCCCTTTAAGAGAGTCGAGAGGAGCAGATGGTTTATGACAAACTCACAGCGATTTGGACGAGGGCTTCTTCACTTTTGGCCTCTTTCGACGATGAGCTGGCCTGAGGCATGCACAGCATGTGTACACGTGCAGGGCAAATGCACGTGCATGGAGACGAACACACAGGTATACACACACAGGACGCACACATACAGGTGTACACACACATATGCATGCACACACGCACGCACACACAACCCCCCCACACACAGCAGAGACACACGATTAGGCGTCATCACAAAAAGCAAGTTCACATTTAGCCTCGTTTCGTTTTGTTATTTTTTACATTAAAAGGCTTTGATTGCAAACAGTAAGAACAGTTTTAACAGGGTTTGGTTTCAAAAGGTTATTTCTTTGATTACAACAAAACACTCACAATGAGTTCATACTGTAATTTGAATTTCATCTGGATTGTTTGTAAAAGTAATCAGCTCTGAGCTGTTTGCAGGAAGAAATACCTGTAGTCACTGAAGTGGTTTCTCTCTTTTCCTCCTGAAAGAAAGTTGAGGGAACATTCATCTCAGTCTGGAACGACTCATAAAACAAAAGTAAATCATGTTTACCTGAGAGAGGTTTTACTCACCCTTCTCAGGGTTGCATTGTTTATGGCCCTTGCAGCCYCGCAGGACCATGAGCTGTTGATGCAGTGAGTTCAGAGCGTTGCGATCGAGAGTGTTCACGGCATTTATCAACTGCAGGAACACAGGGGACAAAATGTCAGACAGGCCTTTGGAAACTCTGGAAAATSTCTTTGTTTTCTAAAAAAGAAGGAGCCTGAACTGTGCTTTAGTGTTATTTGATATGTGCTCCTGTTAAAGTATTTATAACTGTTTTTATGTGCGTGTCTGTCCAAATACAATACCTGGTAGGGGTCAGTGTTGAGGTCRAAGTATTCCAGGAAGCCAGTGGCAAACTCACAGAACAGGAAATTGTGGGTGTCATTGATGGTCCGGAGGCACCAGTATGTGTTGTTGTTGGCGCTGGTGCACGCGCAGAATGGACCCACTGAGATAGGAGAGGGTGGGGTGAGTTTGGAAAACAATACATGAAAAGAGGGCGTGATGACGTTGTTTTCCTCATATCTGGTGTGGAAAACAGCAGCAGAGACAAAAAAGAAAAAAAAAAGAAAAAGGAACATTGCAAATCACAACATCTTTCTACAGCAGAGGGGTTTCCTCACTTGTCCAGAAGGGGGCGGTCTGCCAGTGATGGTTGTCGTGGGTGAAGCATGTGAGGCCAGGCATGCTGCAGGTGTCGTTGTTCTGGAGCCTTTTGAGGAATTTACGCAGCTTTTTCCTGCGTTTTTGTTCCTTCTGCAGCCACTGAGTCTTCTGCTTCGAAGGCATGCTGCTAAGACAAGAACAAGAAGTGTAGCAGGAAAAAAAAATACTTTGCTTTGTTTTCAAGTAAATTAATACCAAAGTCTACCTGAGTGAGAGCATCTGTTCTGCTTGAAGGCGGTTAGATTCTTTTTCTTTAGGGAGGTAACTGAAAAGACAAAAGGCAGCTGTCACACCTGGTGGTTTCTGGTGTCRATCATAATGCTGCCATGATTGTTCCTCACCTGGGCGTGTTACACTGGCATTCCTCTGGACGCACCTTTTTCAGGTGGCCTTTGACTTCACGCAGGTTTTTGATTTTGGTTTGCAAAGTCTCAATCTAAGAACAGCAAGAGGAGTCACGGTGTGCCCAATGTGCACAAAACAATCAGTACGACTGAGACGCTTGTTTGAGAACATACCAACCTCATGCTCAATGTGCAGTTTGTGGTCTTTCCATGCTTGAAGGGACTTATAGAGACCCCCATCGCACTTAACTGTGTCGTTCATAAGGATGGAGCACCTGTAATACACACCCATACACACCCACACACACCCACACACAATATATAATAGAGTGTGGAGAAAAATAAGTAACCTAAAATCCATTCAGAGTACACTCCTGACTGCTAATTTTCACCATAAAATAATTTTATCTTTAAAAATTCAACAAAATGAAAGAGAAAATATGCTTTTTTTTTCAAATCCAAGCTTGTATAATGTTCAAAATTAAGTTTCAGCACCATTAACAAACATAGCTACCAATGACACACACACAGACATAAGTTTGTATTTCTATCCTTATTAGGACTGTTCATTGTCTTCCATTCATTTCCARTCATTTCTATTGCCTAAATATGACCCCTTAAGCAAAACCTAGCCCCCCAGTACATACCTTATCCTAACCATAACCTAAAYTCATTTAACATCTTAGCTCTAAATCTAACCCCCAACCCAAAAATGGAGTTCCACCATATTAAGACCAGTCTGTAGTCCTCATAAGAACTACTGGTCTTGACAAGGTGGGTGTGTATAGCAGAAACGGCACTAAAATTGTAACAAATACAAGTGTATACACACACACACACACACACACACACACACACACACGTTTGCGCAGCTATATGTTTGGGGACATTCCATTGACTTCCATT